AAGATTCTGATTAAAATGTTTGAAATTTTGCTGAATTTGCATAATTTTAATAATTTATGTAATGTACAAACGTTAATTTATATGATGTTTGTTGTATAACCAGCAAGGTGGTCTATGGGTCATTCCATTGAAAAGAGGAAAACGACAAATTCAAATATGCCCTCATTATCTCTATTTCAGTAGTAACTAACCTCTTTTAAATTACTACATTTTATTAAGTTGTGAGTAAATATTAAAAAAAATCAAAAGTTGAAATTTTTGTCTATGGAATCTTTATAATGCATAATTACTTTACACCAGTCACAAGGAGATGTCCCACCAGTCACAACTTTAAATATTTTTTAATATTTCTATGAAGTTCATATAAACCTCATTTTTATTGAAAACAAAAGCGTATAATTCACATTTTACAACACAAATACATCGTTCGAGAAAATTAAGTGTTTTGGCTAAAATTCATCTTTGAGTGCGCAAGGGTAAAATAGAGTTCTTTTCAGTGTCCCACCAGTCGCATTCATTCAAATGATTGTTACATAAAACTAAGAAATCGTTTGATATTTTTGTTAAAGCAATGTTATACATTAGTTATCGTTCTGTGTTAAAAAATATCTTTCGCTGTAAGTTCAGACGTCACGGTTAAATTTCACAATTGATCACATTCTGGAGTAAAATGCCCAACTAGTCACAATGGAATGGCCACGTTCAATAATACCAGATACAGATTCGAATACTTATATGTTTTATTTAATCTAGAAGTAATGGAATCCTGTCATTAATTAAATTACAGCTGTTGCACATGGAATGCCTTTGGCTGGACCAATGAACCCCGGCGGCCCAGTTATGGGCCCACCTCCCCCGCCTCAACTACAGAATACACAAGGCAACGGTCCGAATGGTAACATTTTAGCTGGTGCTGGTCATCATTCTCAAGCCAACTCACCTACAGACGCGTTGCAGCAGGTGCAGAACGCTAGTGGTGGTGGAAGTGGCGGCGTCGGTGTAAATGCTGGCGGCGCAGCAAATACGACTGCGTCAAACCAAGGCACATACTACGGACCACCAACCACATCACAGATGCCCAACGTGGCAGAGGCCAAGTTTAATGCTGCATTAAATAGCGCTGGACCAGGCGGTGGCGTACAACAGCCTCATTCACCACATTTACAACAAAACGGTTACGTAACGGGCGGTGGTGCGCCAGCAAACTACGTTCAACAAGTATCTGGTGCTAGTGGTGCTGGTGGTAGTGGTGCACAGTCAGCTTCGCAAACCAATGCCGGTGGCCAAGTTGTATCCGGTGGTACAGTAGGTGCCGGCGGCACATGGACTGGATCAAGTACGCTCACCTACACACAGTCAATGCAGCCGCCAGATCCACGCGCACATCCCACAGGTTATTGTAAGTCAAAACAAAAATCCTTACTTAAATTTCGTTTCTCAATTGCATTTGACATTTACAGGGAATGCACCGTTAAGTGGAGATATGAGTGGTAATCAACAACAACAGCAACAACCCCGTATGCTGTCTCGTCAACCAGCCCCAGAATATTGGTGTTCAATTGCTTACTTTGAGTTGGATACGCAGGTGGGCGAAACGTTCAAGGTACCATCAGCCAAGCCAAATGTTATTATCGACGGTTATGTTGACCCTTCTGGCGGTAATCGCTTTTGTCTTGGTGCACTCAGTAATGTACACCGTACAGAGCAATCGGAGCGCGCAAGGTAGGTCCAATATGCATATTTAAAAGAAGAGATTTTTTTTGCAATTGGACTTTGTTTAATATTTCATAGGCTTCATATTGGTAAAGGAGTTCAACTTGATCTACGAGGTGAGGGTGACGTTTGGTTACGCTGTCTCAGCGATAATTCGGTATTCGTACAAAGTTACTATCTCGATCGTGAGGCTGGCCGTACTCCAGGCGATGCTGTGCATAAAATTTATCCAGTTGCCTGCATTAAGGTGTGCTAATTAAAATACAAAGAAATTTACGAAACAAAATTCTCAAGAATTACTATTGCCCTGCAGGTTTTTGATTTGCGTCAGTGCCATCAACAGATGCATTCGTTAGCGACAAATGCACAAGCAGCGGCTGCCGCACAAGCAGCTGCCGTCGCGGGACTGCCTAGCTCACAAATAGGCGGTGCGCCACGAAGTGAGTGCAGGAGTTACACAAGGGTAGTCATCAAAGCTCGAAAACTTGCAATTTCGTAAATGTAATGACGATTATTAGCACAACTTTTTATATAAAAACATTTCGAGAGTATCCTTAATTTGGTATTCATTGAAACATTTTATGTAAGCTCGCAAAAATAGAGCTATGTAAAGTTGCGGAGCTTTCATGAAGACCACTTGTGATGCACCCACAATGGTTAATAAAATTCCTCTTTTAAACGCATCTTATTTAAAAAAATTTTAAATAAATCTATTTTGTAGATATTACTGCAGCCGCAGGAATCGGAGTTGATGATTTGCGCCGCTTGTGTATTTTACGCTTAAGTTTTGTTAAAGGCTGGGGACCTGATTATCCAAGACAATCGATCAAGGAGACACCTTGTTGGATAGAGGTGCATCTTCATCGCGCCTTACAGCTATTGGATGAAGTGTTGCATGCAATGCCCATCGATGGGCCGCGTGCGATGGCTTAAAATCAGTTATTCATCAGCCAAAATCCAAGATTAAAAACAAAAAAATTAATACGTTCAAAAAAGTTCAGTAAATAACTAAAGTTCAGCTCAATTCTTGACTGTGAGTCAGAAAGTAAGGAGAGGAAATTATGGGCAACGGCCATTTTGAATCATCACATTTTCCTGTTTCTTATTTTTTTAGTCTTACAAGTGAATTTTCGAGTTGTATTTAAGTTAGACGGATAAAGCAAGAAAGGCGGCGGCGGTTTATGTTTGTCTGTTTTGAAAGATTATAATGATGATTACACGAAAAAATTTTGCAAAGCCGTAGAATCATCATATTGGAAACTTATGTCTTTAATTTTAATCTGTTTACTGTCATGTACCCCTCTCATTAAAATGCAATAACTATTAAAAAGAAAAATGCAATCAAAAATGCTAAAGCAGCATAAACATGTTCTAAAAAAATAAATTTATATTTTATAAAAAAAAAAATCTGGCATGTAACTTTTAAACTGTGAAATTACCGTTAAGAAATCGTAAAATTCGAGATTGTACACATTTTTATTTTTTATGAACTTCTCTTTGTCACCATAGTGAATGTTGATGGCTTTGTTTTTATAGTTTCGTCAAAGCAACCATTTTTTGAGTGTTTCAAATTATTTTTAGGAATGTGTGATTAACCAAAAAAGAATAAAGTAAAAAATATTGTTTAAATTTTTCACTTTAAATGGGTTTTAATGCTTGAACTGGAAAAAATTAATAGGAAATATTAACATCAGTTTACACACAGAGACGTCAATATTTTTGAAGGTTAACCTTTCCTTGAGCGCATTCTCACAAAAAACTTGTAGGCCGTTAAAGATTTTCATCCCTATTGCGAGTGTTGACTAGTGGTAGATAAACAAATCTTAGGGCCGGTTACTCAATGTCTGGTTAACACTGATCTGCGGTTAAACATCGTTATCGCCGTTTTCGACTCCATGCATATAACAGGGAGTCGGTCTTCTAAAAACAAACAGTTGTAGAAGGATGAGCGACTTAAAATATTCACAGTCGCTTATTTGGGCGAGAAAAAGTTATGACTTTTCACAAAGCCGCGTCCATCCTCTTTCGTTTAGTAAGGGTTTGGGGGGCCACGCTCCCTCCCCCTCCTGCCCCACCCCAAAATCGTTGTGCAAGTAAGTAAACATTTCCGGCTTGGCCCAGCATAAAGCTATAGAGCCATTAACAAAATTATACAACATATACAAAATTTATAACGATTTATGTTTGTTAAAAATTAAGTTTATTGCAGTAAATCCCAAATTTTATATTCATTTATCAGGATTGGTTGATTTTTCCGACAGGGAATTAAGGGATGTCGGAAACCCATTCAAAATACATGGATCATTTAGTAGTACACATTTAATTAAAGATCTTACATTTTCTATATCAATAGCTGTGCTCAGAAATGCATCAAGCCAAAGCATCAATCTCTTTTAAAAGCCTTATTTGCGGAACTAAGATCCAATTCGGCATTTAACCATTGTTGCGCATATCGGACTTTTATAGGTTAGGAATAAAACAGACCGATGCTTTGGCTTGACGCACTTCAGAGCACAGGGTATCTTTTAAACTTACATCCTATTACAGTGCGCCAAAGGCATATTTTTAGTTTATCTATACTTCTCACAATGGAGCGTCACTTGTGCGTCCAACCATTTAATCCATTCCTCATCAACTATTCGCTCCAAGGTGACTTCATTAAATACCGATGATCGTGCAATTTCCATAAATTGCATTTTATTAAACATGCGCAAAGATTTTTCATTTTTTACACCAATTTTCGCTTCAAATTTTTTTATTTGTAAATTTTGTTGTGCATATTTTATCAGCAATAGCATTGCTTCCCATCCGTAGCCCTTCCCACGAACTTCTAGTTCAGCTATCATAATTTCAGCTTCAGCCACTTGTGAACGTTTCCCATCCTTGTCTTCACCTTCATCGTTTACTCTCAAGAAAAGGTTTGTATCACCAACCAAAGCATCTATCTCGTTGCCGGTTTGTTCATAAGCCGATCGACATAATACAAGAAATGTACATTTGTCCTCATCTTCGCGCCAGCAACGTTGCATCGCATATTCTTCTTCAAGCGTGAGAGGTTCGGAAGCTGTCAATTCCTGCAGTTCTGGTGATTTCATCCATTCATGATATTTTTGCACATGTTCTTCACAGTATGGAACTAATATGACCTTTTTGCCCACAATTTTTGTGTTTTCATTCAATCGCATAATTGAGAATGGTGGTAGCTTAACGAAATAGCTGTTAATCCAGGAAACAGGATATGAAAATAAATAGGAGTGCTCTCGTATTGAAAATTGTCCAAAATAGGTTCTTTCCCGTACAACCCGGACCGGATCCGGTAATTAGAGAATAAGCGAAAAATTTGCTCTCAAAAATGGAACAACGTCCAGACGTACGGGAACGCAGAACATTTCGTGCCCAGAATTTGATTATAGCCGATTCAAGTGGTTTTTGTTATCGACACTTAAGGGCGAAATACACCACACAAGCGGCTTAACAAACCAAGCGAAATATCCCTTTGCTTCAAGCCATTTGTTACTACGTTTATACGTAAGCTATTTGCAAATAAAAATAATTTGCAAATACCTATCTCACTGTTTATTCGATGGTGAAAAATTCTCTTTTAATATTGCCTGATTATAAAAAGGCAATAATATGACCATCGGAAACGAAAATAAAGTTAAAAATGGCAATAATCGGACAATGATTTGACGTATGCAGACAATAATTTTGACGTCTTGTGAAAGAAAGAAGAGAAATTCATACCAAAATAACTATAATAATTAAAGAAACGCTGATGTATATGTAATTTTGTATCTTTTTTAATTTTTAGTTTTTAGCTCAAATAGCTCGAGAGAAATGCGTACTTTTGCAACTTATAATTCAACGTTCTCGTTCGACATTTTGCTAAAAATGAATTGTCTTAATTATTGTCAGGACGCCACGCCACGGAGACAATTATCAGCGTTTTTGACAACTTATACGTATATCTTTATTGTCTTGACATCATTGTCCAATATAAACGCACCGTTAGTCTGTCACTGCTGACAGTTTTATAAAAGGCCCTACGCACGCATTGATTTATCCGCCAACCAGTTGACCAACCTGTTTAACGAAATTCCCTACAAACGCACCAACCAGTTGGCCGATTTTATTTGAGTGAGAGCTATGATAGGAATGCTTCTCATTTTCATGTATTTGTTATTGCTACCGCCCCCGTTTTCACAAATTATAGGCATTTTCACTAGCGAAACGAAACAAAAACACATGTTAACGTTAATGCGCCTTTAAAAAAAATGAAATCGCATTTTAGGTTGCCAATTTGTCTACACACGGAGCAACAAGTTAACCAATCTGCCTCTAAAATAAAATTTTTTGATTGTACTCCAACCTGACGAAGGTTTGCCAACTTGTCTACACGACTTAAGGGCTAACTAACTATAATATGAATGCGCTGCCGTAACTGACTGTCAGAAAATGAACGAAAAGTCTGTCAAATGCATAAGCAACATAGTGTAGACTTTTAGGTGGCTATATTTTACTTACATGTGTTCAGTGTTGCCACATTTATTAGATATAACAATAGCCACTATCAAGCAGTTTGTTGTAGATAACACAATTATAGTAACCTAGAAACGCCGAAGAACTGTTCGCCTTGCGAAACTTTCAGGATAACCTGGTGTTTCTTTCAAAGGTAAACGCTTACGGCCCACTTCCTAATGTAGAACCAGAACTTCTTTTGACCTGTGTTACATGTAGGACTGAATCGAAAAAGTTACCAAGTTGAAAAATAAGCTACCAAATTACCAAATATGATAAATATAGAAAAAAAATACCAATTTAGGTAAAAAAAATACCAATGCGGCAACACTGCATGTGTTTCATATGTACATACATACGTACGAGCACAAACAGCTGATTCCGTACGGAAGGTGCGATCAGTATCGCTCTTTCCTTACTGCAGAACTCCACAGGCGAACAGCGATGGCCTACCAACTGTCATTTTG